TACACCAAGATCTGTAAGGATTAGTACAGGTGGACTTCGACTTTCTGCAAATTTATCTTGCTAAGCGAGACAGTTGTTAAGTGAGTTTTGTCCTATTTTACGACTTTTCTGGCCAGTTATTAAGCAAATCACTGCAGTTGTTAAGTTAGTAACACAGTTGTCAGCAGCATCTGGCTTCCCCATCGACTTTGCTTGTCAGGAGGTCTCAAAAGGGGATCGATCACATGACCCCGGGATGCTGCAACTGTCATAAATATGAACCAGGTGCCAGGCATCTGAATTTTGATCATGTGACCGTAGGGATATTGCAACAGTCGTAAATATGAAAAATGGTCATAAGTTGCTTTTTTTCCTGTGCTGTTGTAACTTTGAAGGGTCACTAAAAAACCTGTTCTAAGTGGAGGACCACCTGTATATTGCTTTGTCTTTCACACAGCTGGAAGCAAGTAAAAGTGGATTGTATTGCATTTGTGTGTAAATTTCTATGTTCTTTAAGGTTTATGATAGATAGAACTTCAAGAGATAACCAGGCCTAATTTGTGATTGTTGAATTTGTTTTTACCTCTGCTACTGTTTTTTTATACTTTCTTTTTCTTTAGTATTGTCAGGGTTAAAGTCTTCATCCTGGTTCATCCAAGCCGGGGATAAATAAGCAACATGGTGACTGCTTTGGGAAGAAGGTTACAGTTTATTGAAGAGGCAAAAAGATGGTTCTTGCAGGAAAGAGCAGAGGGAAGAAGGGGGTGAGCACATGGGCAGTAGGTTTTTATACCCCCTCTAGCCTTTTGTTTGGAATAGTTTCCTGTTCCTGTGGCATGAACTTTGAGGCTATTTCTGAGTGTTTTTCTAGGCCTTGATATCTGTGGTTTAATCCTATTATTATATCCTGCTTCCCTGGTGATGGGGCTAATGACTCCTAGAGTTTGGGTAGGGTATGCAGATTTTAAGTCTTTTTGTCTTGACACAACTTTCTGATGGTTTTACATTTGCATTTGTATAGGGCTGGCTCTTTCTTGGGGCAGAGATTTGAGGCCAGAGAGATTTGGTTTCTGCTTTTAAAAAAAATCCCTTTGAGGAAAAATATATTTTTTCTGCCCTTTTAATATTTCCTTCTCTGGGGCTCTGACTTCCCACAGTATCATTAGCTATCCAGAGTCATGAATTTCAAGTAGGTAGGAAGAAAGGAACGAAGGAATGAACGAATCACTGCAAATGTAAAAAATACATTCCTGTAATTATATGCATTTGCCTGAGAGCAGAGGGATTTCCGCATTGAAAGAAATATAAAACTTCATCTCTAACACTGCCAACCTAATGAGGATGATGAGGATGATGATGATGAAGATGGGGATCTTCAGAAACTAGCTTTAGCTAATCTAATTATGGGTATGAGTCTAAATTGACTGCAAAAAAGCATATTCAGGGGAAACATTAAACGGGTGAACAAAATTAGATGAAAAATGCAAAGGGGCCATTATTTCATTTAACGAAGTATCGGGTTTCCCCTCTCAAAAGGATCTGAATTAAAAAATTGCATGAAAATTGTAGCGTACGGCTTTTGGTTCAGGGCTGAAAAAAAATATCCGGGGTCACTTGGCACCTCTGCTGCCACCCACCGGTCGTTCGGATTTTGCAGCCCAGATCTGGCAATTTACTTTTAGCGTGGCAGTCTCAGCCTACGGCGCTTCCCATAGTATTAACAATATTATTTCCTATGAACGGCATCGACTTCCGCTGTGCGGAGGCAAAAAAAACGGATTGCAGAAAACTCCGATAAGAGAGGCTAGCCTTGAAAAGCAACTCTATGGTTGTCCTCCAGGGGTACGACAACACTCTCTAGCCTGGCGTTTCCCCCCTCTCTATGGTCTTTTCCCCCTGGGTCTTTCATTGGTTCTGGGACAAGCGGGGAGAAGGTCAGACCGTTTACTCTCCGTTTTCCAGGACTCGAATGGTCCAATCAAGAGAAGGAAGGCTTTTAAGCGGCAGCGGAGTGGACGAATGAAAACCCTTCCTGCCGAGAGAGGTGGGACGCGTCCAGAAAGAGCGGTCGCCCTCCTTCGCTTTTAGGGTTGCTCGGAGGTGGGGGTGCAAGGAAGGCAATTTCCACCATCTCCTTTTTCCCCCTGATTTTAGCTGAGATCTCCTTCACCGGCTTCCCGCAGTTTAGTCGGGAAAGGGCTTGCTGCGACTTTAAGGCTTAAAGGGCCATGCCTCTAAAAAAGTTGGCTGCCCAGTAAGGTGGGAGGAGGAAGAGGGGGAAAAAACAGGAATTGGGGGCATCGCCAAGATCGGGGAAAGGATTAACGCCAGGAAGGGAAAACGGCGATTCGGATCTATAAAGCGAAGCGGGGCAGGTTTCCACTCTGCAGGAGAATATTTCCTTTTTTTTTTTTATTGCAGGATGGAACAAACTCAGTTACTGGAGTGGGATGGAGAAGGCGATTCTACTGATGGGTCTGATGCTGCAGGGGAGACCCCTAAACCGGTGGGGCGCTTGCAGCTGCTGAGCAGCAAGTACGGCCCTGAGAAAGGTAAGGCCTTCTTGGAGCGGTGTCTTCCTTAGAGCTACAGGTGACCTGGTGGCTATATAAGTCCCAGTTTCTCCAAAGCACCCCGAAGGCAAGAGAAGAAACGATGGATGGAAACTAATCAAGGAGAAAAGCAACCTGGAATTAAGGAGAAACTTCCTAACAGTGAGAACAATTAAACAGTGAAACAGCTTGCTTTCAGAAGTTGTGGGTGCTTCATCACTAGAAGTTTTTAAGAACAGCCACTTGTCTGAAATGGTATGGTCTCCTGCTTGAGCAGGGGTTTGGACTAGATCAGGGATAGGCAAACTTGGCTCTTTTATGACTTGAGGACCTCAACTCCCAGAATTCCTGAGTCAGCATGGCTGGTTCAGGAATTTTGGGTATTGAAGTCCACAAGTCATAAAAGAGGCAAGGTGCCTACCCCTGGACTAGATGAACTCCAAGGTCCCTTCCAGCTCCGTTCTGATCGATTGATCACTCCAGATTCATATTTACTGATATCAAAGCGTATTTTTGCTGTAGAGTGTGCTTCCTTCCTAACCCACGGTCTATAAAAAGACTGATATGTTTACAATATCAGTGTGTTCGGTGCATATTTGCTTGTTGCTATTTTGCATGATTGATGGGTTCTTAATGTTCTCTATGCTTGCTTCACTTCCTGCAGATGTTTCAGTTCCAGGCTACATAAGTTCATCAAGGTGTGGGGGAATAGTTGTAGGATGTTTACATGTGGTAGCTTGCCTTACCAGCCTTGATAGGGTATTATTTCTTCCTTGATTGGATGGGACATTTTTGGGACAGCCCTGATGATGTTACCTAGCTTGGATAATGAAACATCTGCAAGAAAACAACCAAGCTAAGAGAGCACCAAAGCTCCCTCATTTCAACCCTGAGCTACAAATATTCTGCTTTATTGGGGACATTGTTTCTTCTTTGATTGGTCTTGTTTATCTGGAGCTGGTTCTTGCTTATCTGGCTGTTGACTAATTAGCATGTGAGAAAAACTGATGAGGGATTAGGGCTCTTTGCTCCTGTTTTTGAACCTCAATTGCTTCCTTTCTTGAAGGGGCTTGTTGAGAGAGAGTACAGATTTTGATGCGTCTTTTAAATGTTTGATTCCTCTCAATGATCTGCTTCTAGGAAGTTTCTTGGATTTTTGATCTGGCTTGGTCTGGTAAGATGTCAGCAGTTTCAATAACAATAACAATAATAATAAAGCTGGAAGGGACCCTGGAGGTCATCTAGTCCAACCCCCTGCTCAGGCAGGAAACCCTATACCATTTCAGACAAATGGCTGTCCAGTCTCTTCTTAAAAACTTCCAGTGTTGGAGCATTCACTACTTCTGGAGGCAGGTTGTTCCACTGGTTAATTGTTCTAACTGTCAGGAAGTTTCTCCTCAGTTCTAGGTTGCTTCTCTCCTTGATTAGTTTCCATCCGTTGCTTCTTGTCCTGCCTGAATAGCTTGACTCCCTCTTCTTTGTGGCAGCCCTTGAGATATTGGAATACTGCTATCATGTCCCCCCTCGTCCTTCTCTTCATTAAACTAGACATACCTCAATGAAAATTGTGATTGAATGCATTAGGTCTAAATCTAACTCCTGGTGACTCCAGGGACAGTTTCTTGCAGTTTTCTTGGTGACATTTTTGAAAATGATTTGCCCTAGCCCTTTTCTAGGGATGAGAGTGACTGGCCCAAAGTCCCCCAGCTGGCTTCTATACCCAAATCAGGATTAGAACTCATGGTCCCCTAGATTCTATTTCAGCACCTTAACTTAGATCAAGCCAGTCCTCATTTATGCGTGGCTGGCCTTTCATGAGGTTTCTGTACCGAATGACAGAAATGGGAGTAAGTCTAAAAATTCAAGGAAAGATGGAATTCCTTATAATCATTCATAACTAAATTGTTGAGCAAACCTTTTGACCTACCTTGATGAAAGCATGGTTAGATTTCCAGGATCTAAATTGGTGATGGGGGAAAGCTTGAAAATGTATTTATTTATTAAATCCCAATTATATTGTTGCCCTTCCCCCCGCAAAAAGTAACTCTGGAGAGTATACTCAAATAATATTGAATATAATGTTTGAATATTATATTCAAATAGAAAAACAAATATATAAAAACAATTGTTATCAAACTATAAAAAGTCATTGTTAAAATTGAAAATACTATATTTTTCAATACATATTTATAAAACCTATGTATGACTTTTATAACTGCTTTTGGATAGCATCTATTTTGCCAGTGTTTTTCACTTGATTTCACCACGTGCTTAAGTAAAACTAGGTTTCTGTGGCAACCATGAAAGTAAGGGTTTCCGTGGAGAAGAACCAACTAAAAGTCAAGAGGGCAGCCTCAACCAAATCAAAGGCCCGCCCCCTTGTTTATGTTCATTGCAATGCGATTTTAAAAAGGGCGGGCCTTTGGTCACATTGTTGCGGCTGTCATCTTGAATTATTATTTTTTTTTACCCTCCTGCATGGAAATAAAACAGATCACCCAAAGGAGATTTTTTTTTTCTTCATGTGTATTGTGTATTCTCTCTCTCTCTAGATTTCTGGATCTACCCTGGCGAGAACACCATTGGTCGCTTGGAAAGCTGTCACGTCTGCTTGCCTGCCAATTCTGTTTCCAAAGCGCATGCGGTGATCGAGGTCCCCTCCTCCCGCGGGCCCCACCTTTTGTACGATCGGGGCAGCTTGAACCGGACTCGGCGCCAGCGGGTGGCCTTGATCCCACAGGTCCGCTACAGCCTCCAAGATGGGGACACCTTGGTTTTTGGAGATGTGGCATGCCAGTACTTCATCCTGGTCCCGGATACCGATTGTGACTCCCTGGAGGAATCCATGGCAGTGCCACCCACCCAGGAAAGGGTGGAGGCCAGTGCACTGGTCATTGAGGAAACACCTGCGCCGGGCAGGAGAATAGGCTTTGGGCAAGTTCTGGTCCAGGATTCTGACAAGGAAGAGGAAGGGGAGGAAGTGATCAATGGGACAGGAAGCAACTTGCACCAGACAGCAAGAGACGGTAAGGAATCAGTGTTCAGATTGGGGCCTTTGCTCTGGCAGCCGCAGGATCTGTACTACAAGTATTCTTTGACTCACAACACTTCATTTAATGGCTGGTCGAAGTTACAACAGCACTGAAAACAGTGACCTACGACCGTTTTTTACACGACCATTGCAGTATCCCCAGGGTCACATGATCAAAATTCGGACGCTTGGTAACTGATATTTCTGATGGTTACAGTGTCCCGGGGGTGTCATGTGATCCCCTTTGCGACGACTTGACAAGCAAAGTCAGTGGGGAAGCCAGATTCATTTAACAACCATGCTACTAACTGAACAACTGCAGAGATTTACTTAACAACTCTGGCAAGAAAGGTCGTAAAAACGGGCAAAACTCACTTAACAACTGTCTCGCTTAGCAACGGAAATTTTGCGTTCAATTGTGTTCGTAAGTCGAGGACTACCTGTATTAAATTCCTCAACTAAAACAACCAGATCTTTGAATGCGAAGTTATCCTTTGGTTCTTGGGAGAGCCAAAAAATAACCGAATGTAAGATTGACTCAGAAATCACCTTTGTGGGGGTCCAGGCGTTCATTTTGTCATTCCTTCCTTTAGAAAAACACAAGAAGTTCCTAATCTTTGTGAATTACGTTTGAAAATTGAATTGCAAAGGTTTCCCGGGAGGGCTGGGAATGTCCCAGGTCTTCGTATCTTCTCTGTTTCACTTCTGTTCATGACTGAGAAAATCAATATAACACATACAGGAAGTCCTTGAGTTACAACCGGTCACTTAGCAACTGTTTGAAGTTACAATGGATTCTCAAAAAGGTACTTACGACCCTGTTCCACAATCACAATGCTTGCCCTCCCCCCTGCACAGCCATGTGAACACATTTGGGGGGGTTCGGCAACCAACCCACATTTATGGCTGTTAGCAGTGTCACATGGTCACTTGGCTGCAAATAATAATAATAATAGTAGTAGTAGTAGTAGTAGTAGTAGTAGTAGTAGTAGTAGTAGTAGTAATAATAATAATAATAATAATAATAATAATAAAAATTGGAAGAGACCTTGGAAGTCATCTAGTCCAACACCCTGCTCAGGCAGGAAATCAGCATGCAGACACATGACTCCAGGTGTGTGGGAGTGACTGATGGAATGTCAAATCCAGGTTATAAATATCCCCAGGTAGGTCCATCGTAACTTCAACAACAACAATAATAAAGTTGGAAGGGACCTTGGAGGTCATCTAGTCCAACCCCCTGCTCAGGCAGGAAACCCTATACCATTTTGGACAAATGGCTGTCCAGTCTCTTCTTAAAAACTTCCAGTGTTGGAGCATTCACCGCTTCTGGAGGCAGGTTGTTCCACTGATTAATTGTTGTAACTGTCAGGAAATTTCTCCTTAGTTCTAGGTTGCTTCTCTCCTTGATTAGTTTCCATCTTTTGCTTCTTGTCCTGCCTTCAGGCGCTTTGGAGAATAGCTTGACTCCCTCTTCTCTGTGGCAGCCCCTGAGATATTGGAAGACTGCTATCATGTCCCCCCTCGTCCTTCTCTTCATTAAACTAGACATACCCAATTCCAGCAGCCGTTCCTCATATGTTTTAGCCTCCAGTCCCCTAATCATCTTTGTTGCTCTTCTCTGTACTCTTTCTAGAGTCTCAACAATTTATGCTGAAAACCGGTGTTTACTTCTGTTTCCAGCAAAAAAAAACAGCGAATAGTGGGTTTGCTTTATGACCACAGCGTTTGCTTAATGACTGCTACAGAAAAGGTTGTAAAGTTGGGTCGGCCACATGTATTGATTTAGCGTATAACAAAATAATGGGTCAGTTACATGATGACCTGCTTTACAACCATCGTGACTTAAGCCTGTAATTGCCAAGCTCAGTTACAGTCATAAGTCAAGGACTTATATTTGAGAGATGGGCAGCCATATACATTGATTTAAATTAATCTTTTAACCGGAGAAGATGTTGTTTAGACCCAATTAATGTACGTTTTCCCAAAAATGTTAACAAATGTGTATAGGAAGGCAATTGATGTGGGATGAAATTTTCCTGTGGAACATTTTCTGGCATTTCCCCCCCCACCGCCACTGCTTTGAACACTGTTAAAGTGAAAAGAATAGAAAATGCCTTAATGCTGATTTTTCTTATTTCCATCTTTCTTCTTTACCAACAGAGTCTGGTTGCTCTAACAAAAATGGCGTAGGAGAAGGACAAGTGAGTTTGGCTTCCTTTGGTGTCTCTTCTCCCTCGTCTACGGTGGTGCCTGAAAGGTAAGTCATCATGTAGCAACTTCCTTGGGGTTAAAACCTGGAATATTTTTGCATTTTCGAAAGGCGTATAAGGCAAGGTTTATGCATTATGTTAAATTATGGTTTGTTACAACCATTATTTATAGGGACTACCTAGCAGTTGTTTGGGTTCACAGAACACACTACAACATAGAACAGGGGTCTTCAATCTTGGCCCTTTTATGACTTGTGGACTTCAACTCCCAGAATTCCTCAGCCAGGCACGCTGGCTGAGGAATTCTGGGAGTTGAAGTCCACAAGTCATAAAAGGGCCAAGATTGAAGACCCCTGACATAGAATAATGGATTGGAAGAAACCTTGGAGGTCTCCTAATCCAACCCGCTGCTTGATCGGGAGTCACTCAACCATTCTGGACAAATGGTTGTCCAATCTTTTCTTGAAAACCTCCACTGATGGAGCACCCACAATTTCTGGAGGCAAGCCATTTCACTGATTAACTGTACTCACTGTCAGGAAATTTCTTCTTAATACTATGCAGGTTTACCAACTAAAGTGCTTTGACTGAGAGAATAGGCTAAATTTAAACCTGACAAAGCACATTATAACTTAGCATGTTGTGAACACGGCCTGAGTCTATGGTAGGAAGAATTAGATTAATCTGTGGAAGGTTGAACCTCTCCATAGTTAATACATAATGGAATTGCTTGCTCAAATTCGTGCGTAGCATGTTTCTGATTAAGACATGTAAGGGTGGGTTAGTGGCTGGGTGTGACTCCCTGTGTGTTAATTTTCAAGAGACCGTCTTTGAGGAAAATGAGTGGTTTAGAAATAGAAAATATAAATAAAATAAACCAGATGCCGGATAGGCGGATGGCCTGCTTCTGCTTCACACTGCATACATTTTAGAAAAGAATTATGTTTGAATTTTGATGAATGAATCATGACAGATAGTCCTCGACTTACAATCCTAATTGAGGCCACAATTTTAATCAGAAATCATGAGGGCAGTTGTTAAGTGAATGTTGTGGTCATTAAGCAAACTTGTTGTTTATTATGGGGTGTTTTTTTTGTTGTTGCCAGAGACCAGAAATAAATGCCCCCCAAAATGTCATAAATCATGGTTAACTAACTGAGATGCTGCAAATGGCCCTAAATGCGGTCATGTGACAGCAAAACTTTTTGAACCAAAATACTTCAAATGGGCTAACTTGCCAAATGTGTCCGAAGTCTGAGATCCATGTCTCCTGTTGAACTGAATTTTGGCAAATTTTGTAAAACTTTTTGACATCGACACAATCATAAAGTAGTTTATGACATGATACAAAATGAGGTACAACATTTCCTGTGCTGATGTTTGACTGTGCTATAGAGTTCAACATGGGCTCTTCTTGAGGCAGATACCTCTCTAAATATATCCTTGAATTTTTAAGAAAGTTTCAAATAGAAGGAGTCCCTGACTTACAACCATTCATTTAGTGACTGTTCGAAGTTACAGTGACACCGGAAAAATTGACTTATGACCGTTTTTCACACTTTATGACCATTTCAGCATCCCCAAAGTGATGTAATCAAAATTTGGATGCTTGGCAACTGGTTCATATTTATGACGCTTGCTGTGTCCCGGGCTCATGTCATGAGCTGCAACCTTCTGACAAGCAAAGTCAATGGGGAAGTCAGATTCACTTAACAACCACATTACTAACTTAACAACTGCAGTGATTCGCTTAACAACTGTGACAAGAAAGATGGTAAAATGGGGCAAAACTCACTTAACAACTGTCTTGCTTAGGAATGGGGATTTGGGGTTCAATTGTCGTCATAAGTTGAGGACTACTTGTACATTAGAATCTCTGCCGTTGTGGAAGGCAGCCATTGAAGAATCTGGTAAGGAAATATCTCTTAAACCATGATCCAACAGATCGCGGCGCTGTCTTGTTAGGTCAGTAAAAGCACGGCTAACTAAATGATATTCAGTGTATAACTAAATACAGGAAGATTTGAGGTCTAGAGTGCTGAGTTAGCTGTAGACTTTGCTGTCAGGAGTTGTGATGATGGCAGCCAATTTAGATGCTTTTAAAGAGGATTGAGAAGGTTCATAGAGGATTAAGTTATCAGTGGCTTATTTATGGCTGTTTACAGCCTCCTGAACCAGAAGGAGCTGGTCTTTAATATGGTTGCTAGGTAGCAACAGCAGGAGGAAACTTTTGCCCTCCAGTCACGGCTTGTCAACATCCTTGGTGCAGCCAGTTGGTGTCCACCTTGCCAGGTAGACAGGAATTCTGGGAGTTGAAGTCCATGAGTCATAAAAGAGCCAAGGTTGCCTATCAGTTTTTTTTTATCAAAATAAGAAATACAGGGAGTCCTTGACTTAACGACCACAACTGAGCCCAAATTTCCGTGGCTAAGCAAAACATTTATTTTACCACCTTTCTTGCCACAGTTGTTACGTGAATCGCGGCATTTGTTAGGTTAGTAACATGGTTGTTAAGTGAATCTGGCTTCCCTATTGCCTTTGCCTGTCAGAAAGGCGCAAATGTTGATCACATGACCCCGGGACGCTGCGACCGTCATAAATACGAGTCAGTTGCCAAGATTCTGAATTTTGATCACACTTAACGACCGTTGATGCTGCAATGGTCGTAAGTGTGAAAAACGGCCATAAGTCACTTTTTTCGGTGCCATTGTAACTTGAAACGGCCACTAAATGAACTGTTCTAAGTCGAGGACTATCTGTAAAACACAGAGCAGCTGGAAAATCATGAAAATCCTTCAGCAGAGCCAGGAAACAGGATCTGTCACAGACCTGGAGCTTGAGCCCAAAACCAGATTCTCAAGGTCCATCAGAGCTGGGGTCAAACCTAGTTCTGGAGCCCCAGGGGGGTCTTTAAACCTGGCAACTTTTAAGACTTGTAGAGTCCAACTCCCAGGCTGGCTGAGGAATTATGGGAGTTGAGCTCTACCAGTATTAAAATTGCCAGGTTTGGTTACCCTGTTCTAGAGGGATGATATTGCAATTGTTAAAAGTCTGATGAATGTAAATCAATAGTTGCTGTGATTATTGTATAAAAGCAGAAGCATTTCATATCAAATAGATAAAATATTTATGGTCCATGCAGGCGACAGGTGGTATCTGAGAAAAGTATCCGCCTTTCAATCATCGGCAGGACATCTTCCTTTTAGCATATGGAAATCTTGATATCTTAGTCCAGGAGTAGGCCACCTTGGCTCTTTTATGACTCGTGGACTTCAACTCCCAGAATTCCTGAGCCAGCATGGCTCAGCTTGGAAACCTCTCCCTTTCCCCTCAGCACGGCTGGCTCAGAAATTCTGGGAGTTGAAGTCCACGAGTCATAAAAGAGCCGAGGTTGCCTACCCCTGTCTTAGTCCCTATTAAAAACAAATGAAACACTCTTTTTTTTAAAAAAAAAATGAAAACTAGTTTGGATGTTTGTTTAATTGTTTAAAATATGGGATACCAGGCATTGTAATCTACTCCATCAAATGGATGCGAGGTTGGAAGGAGAGCTCCTTGACTTACGAGCATTCATTTAAAACCAGTTTGAAACCAGTTTGAAGTCAAACGTACGAGTGTTGCACCACCCCTACGATCCCGTGATCATATTTGGGTGCTTGGTGACTGGCTCACATTTATAACAACTGCCGCTCCCTGTGGTCACTGATGGCGACTTTTGACCTTTCCAGCCAGCTTCCAACAAACAAAGTCAATGGGGGAGTCAGGTTTGCTTAACGACTGCAGTGATTTATCATAATGACTGCAACAAAAAGTCGTGAAATTGGGAGTGGTCATGTGATACCTCGCTTAACGACCACAATGCTTATCGATAAAATTTCTGGTCCCAATTGCGGTTATAAGAGCCGTGGTGGCGCAGTGCTTAGGATGCAGTATTGCAGGCTATCTCTGCTGACTGTCAGGAGTTCGATCCTGACCGGCTCAAGGTTGACTCAGCCTTTCATCCTTCCGAAGTCGGTAAAAGGAGGACCCGGATTGTTGGGAGCAATATGCTGACTCTGTAAAACCGCTTAGAGAGGGCTGTGAAGCACTGTGAAGCGGTACATAAGTTTTAAGTGCTATTGCTATTGCTATAAGTTGAAGACCACCTGTATTTTTTCTAATTGGGAGAATAGTTCTAGATAGCAATGTAGAAAACTCCAATTACCGTAAGTTTAAATTGTTCTGCTTCCTGTTTGTTTCCCAAGTGACGATGAAAGTGGAGACCTTTCAGCCAGTGGCCCACCCTGCCCTGCCCTGCGTCTTTCCTTTGAGAGCCAGGATACTGAACGGGGCCCCACAGAGAATGGTGATGGTCATTCTTCCAGCAGAAAAGACTCCGGAGAACCCACAGCTGAAGAGGAGGGAGCTTCTACAGAACATGGCCCGGTGGAAGGCTTTCATTTGGACAGTGACACAGATGTAGAGGACGAAAACCAAATGGGTTGCATTTCCGAAGAACCAGCATCATTGCACTCATCAAAAAGGGATAGGGACCTAGAGGTGGACCCTGAGCCTGACCTGAATGAGTCTTCATTAATAGCTTCAGGAATCCATTGTCCCCAAACATCAGTTGAGCTGGGCAGTGATACAGATGCAGAAGAGACCATGGAAAGCCCAGCTGCCTTCAGATTAAAGCTCCCCTCCACTTTGGAAAAAGAAGATGATGACACCGACATGGAAGCAGAAATGGAAAGTCCAAGTGTTGTTGGTCCAGGGAAACATGAGCCTGTTTCCCCAAAAGAGGATGACTGCCAACAGCTGGAAGACAAAGAAGACCATGTCCAACTTGGTGGGGAAAAGGATGATACAGATGTGGAGGAGGCTTTGGATAATCCGGAAAGCGGTGTGAATGCCCTGCCTCCCACAGCCCATGAAGATGTTGACACAGATGTGGAAGGCTCCTCTGTCAAGGGGGAGGCTCCAGGCAGGACCAAGAACCACGAAGTTGGTGGAGACGGTGGCGGGGATGATACCGAGGAGGAAGTGATTAAACCGCGGCTGGAGAATTCAGAAGATACTTGTCCTCAGAGGACCTGTTCTTCAAGTGGCAAGGAGAACAGCCCGGATAGGGAAGAGATCCCCCTCAAGAGGATTGTGCCAGATGATCATTGCATTGGTGAGGGACTCGGCGACGTGGTTGGGTTGACACAAAATTCTAACGTCGAACTTGAGATGAGTTGCGAAGTCGGTGACACGTCTCCTAGGGACTTCGATAAGAAGGAGCCCCTGCCAAACCCCGAGCATCACAACCTGCCCGTACTCTTTCTGGGTAGCGATACAGATGGGGAAGAGGAGGCAGGTCATCCGGATGCAGAATCAAAGGAGAACCCGCAAGACTCCGGTGTGGAGTCCAGCAAAGGAAGTAGAGCGAGCCATTTGGGGGATCCAGATATCGGATCTCAGGGAAAACCTACATCTGTACAAGACAAGGACAGCGATACCGATGTGGAAGTGATGCCTGTGGGTCATGATAAATCCACAGCTCAAGACAGTGATACGGATACGGAGGACGTTGCTGCACCTTTACTAAGGAAACCCCTAGAAGAGAAAGGCGCGCAGTCGATAATCCCAGTGAGATCTGAGGCAGGAGAAGAGCAGTTGGCTTCTGCAGTAGGGGTTGGAGTGTCCCTCAAATCTCGTGAAGACAGTGAAGATACAGACGCAGAAAGAGAGGAATCCTATTCAGCAGACGAGAGCAACACCGATGGTAAGGAGAAAAGAGAGAGAGAAATTTCAAGTATTGTTGTCTCCATATTTCTATGGAGATTCCCACTCCTCCAGGTCATGGTTGTCCCAAAGATGCTTTTTCCAAAAGGCAACTGGACTTCCTTGTTTTGTTTTGTTTTCCTCTTGAAAACATTTCGTTTCTCATCATAAGAAGCTTCTTCCGTTCTGGCAAGCCAGGGCAAAGCCAGGACAGTTCTGGCAAGCTGAAGAAGTTTCTTGGATGAGAAATGAAACGTTTTAAAGAAGAAGAACAACAAGAAAGCCCAGTTGCCTTTTGGAAAAAGCATCTTTGGGACACCAGCTGGCTGGTTTTTTTCATCCTAATGTCGTGATTTCGTTAGGCAAGGTGTGTAAATTCCACTACTCTAATGGTACGGATTGAGTCGAAATGGGACAACTTGCCACGAGACAACTGGCTGTGGGACAATTTAACAATTCTATTTAATGACTTAAAAAAAATTTAAAAAAATATTTTAAATTTTTGCCATTCACATTTCATTCTGTCCCTCCTTTTGCACCCTTCTTTCAACGATTCTGTTCCACTATTTCTTTGATATTAAGGCAGTGATGGCGAACCTTTTAGAGACCGAGTGCCCAAACTGCAACCCAAAATCCACTTGTGCATCGTCGAGTGCCGGGTGGGTGTGGCCCATTGGGTGGGCGTGGCCCATTGGGTGGGCGTGGCTGCAGTGGTAATGGCAGATTGGGTGGGACTAAAAATTTAGTTCAATAAATTCCAACTTTGCAAGATCTTTTTTTCCCCCGCGAGAAGTTGAAATTGACTGATTGAACCTTTTTTTTTTTTTGCACACGGTGGCGGAGGCCTAAAGCGAAAAGGTTTTATAAAACCCAGTTGAAGGCCTAGGACTGGGACGACGGCGCGCATGCCCACAGAGAGGGCTCTGCGTGCCGCCTCTGGCACCCGTGCCATAGGTTCGCCACCACTGTATTAGGGTATTATTAGACAAATCCTGCAGGGAGTTGTTCTGAGGCGAGTTGCATCCCTTTCCAAACACTTCATCTTTTTCTTAAAGTAACGTAAGTAAAATATGTTCACATATTTATATGTAAGCATATCAGCACGTAATGATAGCAACACAGTAATGCATTAGTCATTACAAATGTCACAATCTCTTGATGTTAAAAAAAAATAGTAACAAATTATGTACACTGGTGCCTTGGGATTCATCGTTAATTGATTCTAGGAGGCACGATGAGTATCAAACAGATTTTTCCCGTAAGGAATAATGTAGTGAGTCAGAAGGCAGCCGACACCGACAACTTCTATCTTGCGCATCGAGTACCCAACAAACGATGAGTACCGGGACAAAATGTTTGTGTCAAAATGTGCTGAGCACCAAATTGGATGAGTTTCAAAACAGTGGAGTACCAAGGTTCTACTGCAGTGGTTCTCAACCTTTTTAATGCCACGACCCCCAACAGGTCGTAAATCAAGGACTAAACCGGTCGTAAGTCGAGGACTACCCAACCGGACTTTCCTGGGCAGGGAAAGTCCTTGACGTACGACCGGTTGGGTAGTCCTCGACGTACGACCGGTTTAGTCCTCGACGTACGACCGGTTTAGTCCTCGACTTACGACCGGTTGGGGTCGCGGCATTAAAAAGGTTGAGAACCACTGGTATAGGGTTTCCTGCCTGAGCAGGGGGTTGGACTAGATGATCTTCAAGGTCCCTTCCAACTTTACTACTATTATTATAAAGATATGGCCAGATAATTCCCTCTGTTGAACAGAGTCTCATTCAAAGACTGGCAGGTTCTAGAGATATTTTTAGAGACGTTGCTGTTTTCTGGTACTGTCTTAATAAGTAGGAAATGCCGTTTGGGTTATTTATCCATCTTTACTCGGGACTAAGCTGTACCTAATGTACCTAATACATTTCTTTCCACACTTTTCTCTTCTTTCAGACGAGGTTGATGTGTCCTTGCAGGCCACACAGTGTTACCTGCCAACTGAAACCACATCACCTAGACCTGAAAAAGCTGGAGGTATCACAGCTGCAGGTAAGAAACATTGCTGAACGTCTGGATCATCTGGAAGAGAAGAGACCCAGTGGGATAAAAGCCAGGAAGTTTGGCTCCTGGGTTCAGTGGCAGAAGAAAGTAACTAGGGCATGACAGACCAGGAGCTGTAGGTTAAGGCCCTGTGCAGATTATGGGTTGCTTATGTAGGGTTTGTGATCCCAAAGGAAAGGCTCATCTATTATCAGTGGAACAGAATGGACAGTAATCATAGTGACGATCCGTGGTTTTTGTGAACGTGCCTTCAGTGACAAATAGAAGATTAAACAGGAGGCAGTTGACAGGGAGAGAAGTTTAAACATCTAGAAATGGGTTGAGGACGAGAGAAATGGGTCATTTGTTATGATGGCTTTAGGAACCCTCTGAATTTTTGATAGACATGGATTAATAGTGGGAAAGAGTTATTAGGCCCCTAGTTAAGGATTTCATACAGACTTTGGGTTGGATAAGGAGGGAAACTAGATGCCAGCCTAGCTCTGAGCCTGCCTCCATCCATCAAGGCTCTATTCGTGTTCCTAAATGGTAATTTGGAAACAATCATGAAGAGAGTGACGAGGGGGAACATGATAGCAGTGTTCCAATATCTCAGGGGCTGCCACAAAGAAGAGGGAGTCAAGCTATTCTCCAAAGTGCCTGAAGGCAGGACAAGAAGCAACGGATGGAAACTAATCAAGGAGAGAAACAACCTAGAACTAAGGAGAAACTTCCTGACAGTTAGAATAATTAACCAGTGGAACAACCTGCCTCCAGAAGCGGTGAAGGCTCCAACACTGGAAGTTTTTAAGAAGAGACTGGACAGCCATTTGTCTGAAATGGTATAGGGTTTCCTGCCTGAGCAGGAGGTTGGACTAGTTAACCTCCAAGGTCCCTTCCAATTTTTTTTTTTATTATTATTATTATTATTATTATTATTATTATTATTATTATTATTATTATTATTATTATTATTATTATTATTATTATTATTATTATTATTATTAGGCCCCTAGTTAAGGATTTCATACAGACTTTGGGTCGGATAAGGAGGGAAACTAGACCCCAGCCTAGCTCTGAACCTGCCTCCATCCATCAAGGCTCTATTCGTGTTCCTAAATGGTAGTTTGGAAACAATCACGAGTTATACTGATGATGTTACCTATTTGGGTGATGAAATGTCTGCAAGAAAACAACCAAACTCAGGGAACACCAAGGACCCTATAATCAGTGGCATTTCTGGAATGCGTGGGGAGCCTTTTGAACGGCGGTTGATAAATCATAGTTAGAATTGGAAGTTCAGTTAGAAAAGGATCAGTGACTCCTACATTCTTTATTTTAGCTTTCTTAAAATGGATGTGGGCTATTTACTCCCTGGTCTGTGATTCTGGAGTACACCTGGTTGGCCGATGCGTGACACAAAAATTCTAGATTAGATGGACCCGTATCCTGATCCTCCAGAACCATTCTTCCTTTGCCATGCCTTATTCTAATAATGGATTTTTTCCCTTCAACTCTCTAAGTATCAGATTCCAATTGCGCTCTAGAAGAGGAGCCCACTCAGGCATTTGACTTCAGTTTACCCTTTTTACCCGCCAAATGTCAACTCAGAAATGGTGAGTCTTTTTTCCAACAAGAGGAGGTTTTTCCAAGATGGAATTTGTTGTCCAGGGCTAACCCAGATGACAGGGTCAAAAGGGGGGATATACATTCTTTTAGATTGCATTACTTGTATTGAATTTCTTGGTCCACGATCCATTTTTTTAAAATCAGTTTAATCTCTTTTGCACTTTGCTCTAAATCTCTCATTTGCTTATCTCCTTTTCATTGGTTCTACCTGAAAATTCCTTAATACATATTTAGGATCTGATCTCATTTTCTCAAGATCACGTTACAGGCAGTCCTCGATTTATGACCACAGCTGAGCCAAATTTTCTGTTGCCAAGAGAGAGGTATTAAGTGAATTTTGCTCTATTTTATCACCTTTCCTGCCACAGTTGTTAAGTGAATCATTGCAGTTGTTAAATAGTAGCGGTTGTTAAGTGCATCTGGCTTCCCCCATTGACTTTTGCTGGTCAGAAGGTCGCAAAAGGGGATCACATGACCCCGGGACACTGCGACCATCATAAATATCAGCCAGTTGCCAAGCATCTCAAATTTTGATCACTTGAGTATGGGGATGCTACAATGTTGTAAGTGTGAAAAACGGTCACAAGTCACTTTTTTCGGTGCTGTTGTATAACTTTGAACAGTCACTAAATGAGCTGTGGTAAATTGAGGACTACCTATATTCTAAAGCAGAGGTCTCCAACCTTTTGGGCACCAGGGACTGGTTACGTGAAAAGAGGTTTTTCCACAGACCGGAGGGGGCGTGGTTTTGTGTACTGCCTGCATCCCTCGGATGGGGCTTTGCTTATTTGTGTGGCTTATTTGCTGGCATGCCGCGGCCCAGTACCGGTCCACGGCCCAGGGGTTGGGGACCCCTGTTCTAAAGGAGCTACATCTGACAGCCCTTTTGTAGAAAAGAAATGCCTCAGAGTGGGGGAGAAAGTGTTTGTCTTTATAGCATATGGCAGTAGTGAGATTAGTTCACACCCCATCTTCTGTTTAGAGTACTCTCTTTAAAAAGTTCTTTGCATAGTTGAACTTTTCTGAGCTTTCTTAGAAAGCAATCTGGTCAAAGAAGAAAAGGTTGGGTTGGCAGGGCTTCTTGGATTTTCAGAAATATAATTAAGAGCATTTTGTATCAGCAAACGTAGATTCTGTAAGTAAAGAACGGTATTTACTTTATTTAAAGCATTTAAAGTCTTGTTCCTCAATGAAGAAACTTCTGCCTGAGGTTCACATAGATTGGTCTGTGTTTCTGCTTATACTGGTAGTCTTTGACTTATGAATGTAATGAAATCTGGAATTTCCACTGTAAGTCATGATGGTCGTAAGTCAAAACACCACATGACCAGATCCAGTTTTATGACTTTATTTTGTAGTGGTCATTAATCCAAGGCCACAGTCATTTAAATGAACATGGCGGTCATTAATACAAATTAATGTGTTCCTATGGGTGCTTTTTTTGCGGAAACCAACCGAAAAGGCTGAAACTGGCAAAAAATAAATAAATAGTAAATTGTGGCCATGTGATTGGAATACTTCAATTGGCTGTAAAGGTGAGCCAGTTACCAGGTGTCCGAAATGCAGTCATGTGACTGTGAGGGTCTGTGCAGCTGTTGGAACTTGATTGTAAAACTGCATCCAGTTTTGGTCACCACGATGTAAAAAAGATGCTGAGACTCTAGAAAGAGAACAGAGAAGAGCAACAAAGATGATTAGGGGACTGGAGGCTAAAGCATATAAGGAACGGCTGCTGGAATTGGGTATGTCTAGTTTAATGAAGAGAAGGACGAGGGGGGACATGATAGCAGCCTTCCAATATCTCAGGGGCTGCCACAAAGAAGAGGGAGTCAAGCTATTTTCCAAAGTGCCTGAAGGCAGGACAAGAAGCAATGGATGGAAACTAATCAAGGAGAGAAGCAGCCTAGAACTAAAGAGAAACTTCCTGACAGTTAGAACAATTAACCAGTGGAACAACCTGCCTCCAGAAGCGGTGAATGCTCCAACACTGGAAGTTTTTAAGAAAAGACTGGACAGCCATTTGTCCGAAATGGTATAGGGTTTCCTGCCTGAGCAGGGGGTTGGACTAGATGACCCCCAAGGTCCCTTCCAACTTTATTATTATTATTATTATTATTATTATTATTATTATTATTATTATTATTATTGTTGTTGTTGTTGTTGTTGTTGTTGTTGTTGTTGTTATTAGTTTTTTTGGGGGGAGGGTTCCATCATAACAGCGAATGGTTGCTAAGCAAGGACTACCTGTATTTTGAAAAGATGTGACACAAAAGGGTCGGCAAGGGTAAACAAAATATAGAAACAATTCACCAATTCTGCATGTGTTAAGTAACAGTTCTTATAAATGATCTCATCTCCCAACTTCCCCTGGGCAGAGTGCCCAATCGTGAGGTAAGCTGGGAATTGTAGTCCAGCAATAGCTTGGAAGGCCAGCTGTTGCTTACATCTGCATCAAGAATTGCCTTTAGATCCCAGTTTCCTGAAGCTCACACTTGATCTGCCTCTTGTCACTTGAGGTAGAGAGTGACAGGACAGCAGAACTGCCAAGGAGAAAGGAAGTGATAGCTTAGGACATTTTAAATTGTAGCTGGGCTGCTTCTAATAGACGGGGAGGGGAGCGATTGCAACTTGGTATGATAAACAGGAAGATCCTGGTAGAGCTTAAAAGTTTCCTTCACCTGATTCCCCTCTAAATAAATACATGGATTCTGGTCCCCATCCTTTCAGCAAGGATTGTTACTGGCCAATTTCCGGCCTTTTCCACAAAAATTGCACATAGGAATACATTAATTTGTGTTAACGACCGCCACGTTGGCTTAATGACTATGGCGTTGAGTTAAAGAGCGCTACAAAATAAAGTCGTGAAATCAGATCTGGTCCTGTGGTGCTTTGACTTACAATCATCATGACGTACAATGGAAATTCCAGATTCCATTACGTTGGGGATCAAGGCAATTGTCGCCCAGAATATCTGGAAGGGCATTAGGTAGGGAAGGCCTGCTTAGCCCTCAGAACAATTATTCTCCACTCGTTGTCCTCCTAGTAACCAGCTTACCTTTGAAAGACAACAGTTCTGACCAAGAAGATGATATGCTGGAAGCTACCCAGCCATATTGTCAGGAGCCCAAACCCGAAGTCTTAGCAGAGCTTTGCGAGGCCTTGGCTGGCAAAAAGAAGCTGGACCCAGAACGGCTTGTCCAGAACCAACCCGAAGGGGAGAAATGTTTTGAGCAGGTGCCTCAACCTGATTTCCCGGCTTCAACCTCTCCGGCGGGAGAAGAGACCACGCCCAGTCTTCCGGGAGACAACCCTCTGCCTCAGGCTATGGAGTTGCCCCCTCCGCAATCCTCCTTGCAGACAGCAGGGGGCGCCTCTGAAGAGGAAACCCAGTCTCTCTGCTCTCTGCAAATTCCCCTGGTGGCCAGCCAGCAGTCCTTGACTCCACAGGAAGAGAAGAGGGTGGAGGTCCCAGAAGGTGGAAGCCCTTCAGAGGTGATGCTCAGACAGAGTGAGGCAAGTGAGTGGCAAGCGCACGAAAAATGGTTTTAGGGGGAATGCATGGATTATGGTTCTGTGATGGGCGTTGTCGAAATGCATCGTGGGGGCATCTTTGATGAGCCTGTTTGATGTTTTTTTTTCTTTTTCTTACAAATATACATTTTATTTATTTATTTTATTTATTTATTAAATTTATATACCGCCCTATCTCCCTTGCGGGACTCAGGGCGGTGAACAGGCGATACTAAAAACCACAATAATAAATAAATAGTTTCTGTTTTAAAATCGAATTGAATAATAGGCCTGTTCTAAAAACACACCCGTAAAAAACCCCCCACTGAAACACAATCCAAACTACGCCAGGCCGGCCGCACGGAATAGATGGGCCTTCAGGGCTCGGCGAAAAAGGCGCAGGTCCGCAACTGTACGTAGGTCGGGGGGTAGGTCATTCCAGAGGGCAGGAGCTGCCACAGAGAAGGCTCTCCCCCTGGGGGTCGCCAGCCGGCATTGTCTGGCCGACGGCNACCGAAAAGGCTGAAACTGGCAAAAAATAAATAAATAGTAAATTGTGGCCATGTGATTGGAATACTTCAATTGGCTGTAAAGGTGAGCCAGTTACCAGGTGTCCGAAATGCAGTCATGTGACTGTGAGGGTCTGTGCAGCTGTTGGAACTTGATTGTAAAACTGCATCCAGTTTTGGTCACCACGATGTAAAAAAGATGTTGAGACTCTAGAAAGAGTACAGAGAAGAGCAACAAAGATGATTAGGGGACTGGAGGCTAAAACATATAAGGAAGGGCTGCTGGAATTGGGTATGTCTAGTTTAATGAAGAAGAGGACGAGGGGGGACATGATAGCAGTGTTCCAGTATCTCAGGGTCTACCACAAAGAAGAGGGAGTCAAACTATTCTCCAAAGTGCCTGAAGGCAGGACAAGAAGCAATGGATGGAAACTAATCAAGGAGAGAAGCAACCTAGAACTAAGGAGAAACTTCCTGACAGTTAGAACAATTAACCAGTGGAACAATCTGCCTCCAGAAGTGGTGAATGCTCCAACGCTGGAAGTTTTTAAGAAGAGACTGGACAGCTATTTGTCTGAAATGGTATAGGGTTTCCTGCCTGAGCAGGGGGCTGGACTCGATGACCTCCAAGGTCCCTTCCAATTTTATTATTATTATTATTATTGTTGTTGTTGTTGTTGTTAGTTTTTTTGGGGGGAGGGTTCCATCATAACAGCGAATGGTTGCTAAGCAAGGACTACCTGTATTTTGAAAAGATGTGACACAATAGGGTCGGCAAGGGTAAACGAAATTTAGAAACAATTCACCAATTCTGCATGTGTTAAGTAACAGTTCTTATAAATGATCTCATCTCCCAACTTCCCTTGGGCAGAGTGCCCAATCGTGAGGGAAGCTGGGAATTGTAGTTCAGGAATAGCTTGGAAGGCCAGCTGTTGCTTACATCTGCATCAAGAATTGCCTTTAGATCCCAGTTTCCTGAAGCTCACACTTGATCTGCCTCTTGTCACTTGAGGTAGAGAGTGACAGGACAGCAGAACTGCCAAGGAGAAAGGAAGTGATAGCTTAGGACCTTTTAAATTGTTGCTGGGCTGCTTCTAATAGACGGGGAGGGGAGCGATTGCAACTTGGTATGATAAACAGGAAGATCCTGGTAGAGCTTAAAGGTTTCCTTCACCTGATTCCCCTCTAAATAAATACATCGATTCTGGTCCCCATCCTTTCAGCAAGGATTGCTACTGGCCAATTTCCGGCCTTTTCCACAAAAATTGCACATAGGAATACATTAATTTGTGTTAACGACCGCCACGTTGGCTTAATGACTATGGCGTTGAGTTAAAGAGCGCTACAAAATAAAGTCGTGAAATCAGATCTGGTCCTGTGGTGCTTTGACTTACGATCATCATGACGTACAATGGAAATTCCAGATTCCATTACGTTGGGGATCAAGGCAATTGTCGCCCAGAATATCTGGAAGGGCATTAGGTAGGGAAGGCCTGCTTAGCCCTCAGAACAAACGAAGAACAATTATTCTCCACTCGTTGTCCTCCTAGTAACCAGCTTACCTTTGAAAGACAACAGTTCTGACCAAGAAGATGATATGCTGGAAGCTACCCAGCCATATTGTCAGGAGCCCAAACCCGAAGTCTTAGCAGAGCTTTGCGAGGCCTTGGCTGGCAAAAAGAAGCTGGACCCAGAACGGCTTGTCCAGAACCAACCCGAAGGAGAGAAATGTTTTGAGCAGGTGCCTCAACCTGATTTCCCGGCTTCAACCTCTCCGGTGGGAGAAGAGACCACCCCCAGTCTTCCGGGAGACAACCCTCTGCCTCAGGCTACGGAGTTGCCCCCTCCGCAGTCCTCCTTGCAGACCACAGGGGGCGCCTCTGAAGAGGAAACCCAACCTTTCTGCTCTCTTCAAATTCCCCTGGTGGCCAGCCAGCGGTCCTTGACTCCACAGGAAGAGAAGAGGGTGGAGGTCCCAGAAGGTGGAAGCCCTTCAGAGGTGATGCTCAGACAGAGTGAGGCAAGTGAGTGGCAAGCGCACGAAAAATGGTTTTAGGGGGAATGCATGGATTATGGTTCTGTGATGGGCATTGCCGAAATGCATCGTGGGGGCATCTTTGATGAGCCTGTTTGATTTTTCTTTTTTTTTTTCTTACAAATATAAATTTTCATAGTTCAGCTCTGAATAAGAGAGGTGAAGAGGCTTCCAACAGCCAGAAGCAGCGTTTCTCGACCGTGACAACTTGGTGAAGGCGGGTGGACTTCAACTCCCAGAATCCCCCTGGTTCCTGGAATTCTGGGAATTGAAGTCCACACCTCTTCAATTCGCCAAGTTCAAGAAACACTTGAGCCAGAGGCTGCAATGTCCACAAGAAAAAAAATTGGTTACAGATTTATAGCCGTCAACTTGTGCCATTTTTTTTTTGGAGATATCTCTAATAATTTTTGGAACGTTATATTTATTCACACACTTACCGGCTTTCCACTCACGTAAACTAGGGAGTGGCCCTAACATTTTCAGAACATATATTTTCTTAACAGGGATGTTATTATTTACTATTAATGTCAGTACTATTTTTTTTAATATATCGTAAAAAGTGACATCTATTGCTGGTCTATGACCGTAATAAAGTTATTATTATTATTATTATAGAGGCTGCAATTTACATTTAGGGCAGTGGTTCTCAACCTATGGGTCACGACCCCATTTGGGGTCGATCGACCATTTCACGGGGGTCGCCAAGCAAGGCTGTCCGCCATTTTTTTTCCCCTTTTCCGGCGGGTGCCTTACCTCCCTTGGGCTGGGCCAGCTGGTGGTCGGCCTGCTCCGTCTCTGCCGCTTGCCAGGTACACTTTGGCCGGCGCAGGGGGCGGAACCACGCATGCGCGGCGCTCCTGGGCAGGGCAAGTCCTCGACTTACGACCGGCTGGGTAGTCCTCGACTTACGACCGGTTTAGTCCTCGACTTACGACCGGTTTAGTCCTCGACTTAACGACCGGTTGGGGGGTCGCGGTATTAAAAAGGTTGAGAACCACTGATTTAGGGTGATACCAAGGGGCTGTGTTGCAGATGGCAAAGGCTCCAAATTATGTAATTTATGGAAATTTATTTGTTTTGTTTTTTTTTCAATTTCTATGGCCGCCCAACTCAGCCAAGTGATTTCGGGCAGCTTACGAGTCTTAAAACGTTAAAACAATTTCAAAAGCATTAAAACAATAAAAACATCCACAAAATAAATACAAACATAAACATCACCCGTGATGATTAATCTGCTAATAGTGAAGCCGAGCAATGGGGCCCTTCATACATTTTGAGTCCCAGGCCTGGGTACATAGCCAAGTATTCAAAATCCTGGATTTGTTTTCTTTTGCTCAGAACTGGAGAGGTTTTATCTCTGTTCTATTTGTGTTTTTGAAACACCATTGGGTGGACTTTAGAGCTTTTGCAGCCCTAGATTTGGAAACTATTCATCTTTGCTCTCAATCAAGTGTAGATATTTTTAAACCGGAGGGTCGTATTCCTCTTCCAGGCCTGGAGTTCCTTTCTGTCTTCTCCACATGTAAAGAGTTCTCGTTGGCTTCTCTTATTCTCCCATATCTTGAGATGCTGTTGCAAAAAGGCTCTTCTCTTCCTGCTTTAGCACAGCTTCATCCCGATCTCCTTGGGCAGAGAAAGCCGTGAAGCTTTTGTCTTGCAGCATAAATCCAAAATATTCCACGGGTCCGCTGGAACTGGTCTTTAGCTTCACTCCAGCAATGCTTGTGATTCCTTTCAAGATGAGTCATAGGCATCCTGTAGGCCACATGCAATCTGGATTGAGGGCTGCATGGGAAACATCACCTAGAACAGGAGTCCTCAACCTTGGCCACTTTAAGACTTGTGGACTTCAACTCCCAGAATTCCTCAGCCAGCAAAGCTGGCTGAGGAATTCTGGGAGTTGAAGTCCACAAGTCTTAAAGTGGCCAAGGTTGAGGACTGCTGACCTAGAGGGGGGTGGTGTCTAACAGGCTCAAATTGATACCTCCAAGTCCAAATAGAAGTTGTAGGTCA